GACACACCATATTATGCATCTTTTTCTTCCCTTGAAGATTAGCTCCGCTCACATTTGGAAACACAGAATCCTTCACCCTCATTTTCTCTCTGCTCCTCTTCTTGTGTGGCTGTCCTCAGTGCCTATGTTGGATTAATTCGCCCTCTCTCCCACTTGGAGCTCTCTCTGCAAACCAGGCGAACAGGGCCAAGTGGCAAAATGAATTAGATCCCTCTGAGCTATTTGGCCTTGTTTTCCTTGGGCCACAGCCTGACTTTTGTTATGGCCTTGGAATGAGGGCACTTGCTTATTTTCAAGGAGAGTCTGATCCAAGGACCACACAGATGGCATGGCAGGGCATTTTGTGGTTGTCAGGGATTGCTCATTCTAAACTGATTCACCAAAAGCTGGACTGGAGGCCACACAGAGCCTGATCACTCTTCACGTCTCCCTCCCTCCACGGCAGGGGCACTGGCAGTCCCTCAGAGAATGCCCTGGAGTTGGTTGCAAGGCTTGTGCACAAGTTAGTGGAGGAAGGAGAGAGAACAGACCTACCCTTTCATGCATGTGTCACTAAATCATGTTTGGATCTTAAGGCCAGAGCTTTGGGGAAAAAAACCCAAAAAACTAGGATGCATTTAAGAGGACATACAGGAAAAAGGTAAGTGAGAAGTATGATAATTAGCAATAGTCAGCAAATGGGCACAAAAGGATGCAGGGGTTAAATGTATGCAGAATTACAGACATGTTTAGCTTTGGTAGTTATAAGGTGATTTAAGAAGGAGCCCTACTAAATAACCAACTAGTTTCTATCGAGCAGCTACCATGTGACTGTCCTTCGGCACTGTTGGGCCTGCAGTAGCAACCTGGCTGGAAGAATTGCTGAATTACTGGAGATCTAACTGCAGGCCCTGTGGGGAGTGTACAGAGAGCCAAAGGAGATGGTGCAGAGGCTCCAGTGTTGGTTTTCATTCTGACGCCTGTGATTTTTCAGGGGAGAGTACACATTCAAGGAGAATGGTGATTTGGGTGAGACTTACGGTATTTGTAGCAGGTATGAATATGGCTCCACAAATTCAGGTGTGTGGGAAACACCAATTTCTTCATATTCTTTAATTCAAATTAAACCTGGCTCTGAATCCTCCTCCCCCACCTCCATCTGGAGATGGATTCCTTCTAAGGTGTGCTTTCCTCCCACCCCCAATGCCACCACCACCATCATTACCACCACACACACCACACTGCCACCAGCAGAACTTGAACAAACCAGGTGGCCTAGGAGGTAACTCGAAAAGGGGCTAAGCCTGTGATCCTCAGTGTCCAAGTTTCCTGCCAGTCCCCTGATGGTCTACATTGGTATAGTCACTTGAGGCTTTGCATCTTCCCTAAGCTCTTTGGTGAACTTGCCGAGGCAGGGATGTCTGGCACTGGGTCAGTCTCCTGAAGCACCATGGAGCCCCAGGTCCCTCTGGACTCTAGCCATCTCCCCGGCTACTGCACAGAGAGGTCCCGAGTGTCCAGTCCTCGCCCAGCCCTCAGGCTTCACTCCTTTTCCTCCCCTCCCCTCTCCCAGCATCACCTCTTCAATGGGATGAAGACAAGATCTCAAAAGACAGGATAAAGCATCCCAGAAGCTTCTATTTTCTGCTTGGAGGGTAGATTGGCAGGAAACACAAAGGGACTCACTAACTTTTTGAAATCCAGAAGGGGAGCAGGAGGAAGAAAAATGTTGAGGACTCAATGCAAGTTAATATCTCAATAAGTCATCCTGCTACAGATTATGATGTGATTCCTAGGCCATGCAGAGCTCAGTGGTTACATGCTGGGAGTCTTGATTCTGCCTCTTGCTATCCACATGACCTTGCACTAGTTTCCTCATAAGTGAAACAAAGAGAATAGTGACAGCACGTATTCTACCCTTGGCTGTGAGGATCGAATGAGTACCTATGCATACGGCCCTCAGGACAACCTGAGGCACAGTGAGCTCAGTAAACGTGAGCTGCTGTTACTGTTATGTCTCTAGTCTCACTGGTGCAAATGCTGACCCTCCCTCACGGCATACTTTCAGTGCATTACTACACCAGCAGCATCTGTCTCTTTCCTCAAGGCTAATGATACTTCTCTCTCCACAGCCATAAGATAGGAAAAGAAGGAAAGAGGGCACGAGGAAAGGAAGATTCATCCCATCCTAAGCTTGCTGACCAAAGGTGGAGGTTCTGACCTTCACCTGTCTAGATGGCAAGTACTCCCAGGAGAGGGAATAATCCAGCTGTGACGAAGTTCCTAACAGAATGAGTTTAGGAATCTTATGGGAAGGGGAATGGGACGTGCTCTTTGCAGATGGAGCTCGTCACCATTAGAGGTGTGCGTCTGCCAGTGAAGAGAGCATGGGGCCAGGAGCCTTCTCCGGTGCTTCACCAGGCTTCATCTCTTAAAGGTCACTTCCTCAGAGACATCACCTCTGCCCCATCCAAATGAGCTCTCACCTGTCATTTGCTCTTATTCTTTATGATTAGCCCTTATTCAATTTTTAACGATGGATATTTTATATGTTTATTTGTTCAGTGTTTTATCTCCCAGTAGATGATATAGCTCTAGAGGGCAAGGATTAAGTGTGTTTTATTGACCAACTACAGTCACTTAGCTTTAACTTTTTAATCTGCTAAGTGAGGGATGATAATACTGCTTTTGCCTATGTCACTGAGCTGTGAAATTAAAAAAGATAATATATGGGAAACTTCCTTGTAAATCATACAACATAATGCAAATGTTAGTGATGCTCAGTGCCATGTCTGGAGTGTGCATCATAAGAAGAACACTTGTGAAATGGGCTTCTGGACAGATTAGCATTTTGTTAAATTTGGAATGTGCATCATAAGAAGAACACTTGTGAAATGGGCTTCTGGACAGATTAGCATTTTGTTAAATGAGATAATAAAAGAAAGTACCTAGAACAGGACACATACCCAGATAGCTCTTATTATGTGAATTTAAAGGTAGCAGCCCCAACCACTAAAAATACCATATTCACTAAATCTACCCATAGTAGGCTTCAAACAGTTGAAGAGGAGCAGCCGTGGCTGGAGATGTGTGAACTCGTGTGACAGTGAGGAACCCAGAGCCGAGCTCTCTACACTGCGGGAGGTTTCGCGAGTTAGTTCTCAAGGAGGACGTTCCTTTCCTACGAAGAGGAAGACTGGTCAATAAGACGTCTTCCCCTACTCTGCAGCAGTGAGATAGCTGAGAGAGGGAAGACCTTTCTGGAAGAATGGCTGCCACTGCCAGCATTTCACAGAGAACAAACGGGAGGAGCATGAATCTCCATAAGTCCAAAATTTGCACAGATATGCGCAGCATCACATTCGGAGCAGGGAGAGCTGGAGTGCAGAGGCGGAGCTGGGGAATGCACCAGTGCTGGCTGTGACTCCTCTGCTTTTGATAGACGAGCCAGGAAGTAAGAAAGTATCCATTCTGATGGCCAGTGGGGGAATGAATCGCTAAGGTGGGGAACCCAAAGACCAAATGGTGCTAAATCAGGAGGATTAAAAAAAAAAGATCAGATTGGACCAAAAAAGGACACATTTTCCTTCACTAAGCCATTTTTGGATTTTGTCCTATTTGTCAGGGAGGTAGGATAAGACCACTGTTGATACCATAACTACACCAAGTATTTCTTACGGGATGTGCATGTAGTTATGGTTTAACTGACTACTTGGTAAACTGCACAGATTGTTTACATGTTTTACAGTGTCTCTGGCTCTCCAAGGACACAGATTCCCTGTGGTTGGAGAAGGACCTAGTTTTCCCCAGACCCTCAGCTCAGGCCTGCGTGAGGCTTTCCTTCCTGTGTCTTTGTACAGCTGTGACTACCGTGAACAGAAACAAAGGTGAGCAGTGAGTCCAGCACAGGTAACAGGAAAAGGCAGGATAGGTAACAGGTCAAGGGGAATAGAAATAGGCCCTAGGATGGGGTTGGAAAGGTGGACTTGACAGCCTATCTGCAGGAAGACAAAGCCCCATTGCAGACGCAAGTTACGATACATGAACAAAGACCAAGGCTGCAAAAGTGGGAGCACTG